GTAATTTCCCCCCCTCCCCGCCCTTTTTTTTTTTTTTTTTACCGATATGCTGGGTTCTCACCTGAAAACATACTCACCTACCGAGCAAATCTAATGTTGTCCTGCTCTGATCCGCTGCCACAGCCCGAGTCCCATGCTGCCATCTCCATCTGTGACCTTATCAGGAGCCGGTTGGGTACTGCAGCCAGCCAGCCCCTGATGACGCGTGGCCAGTCCCAACCATTGGCCACTGTGAGTCCCTGCTCCTGCAGCTTCCTGGGTAACGTGATATGCATATCCCAGGAAGCGGTGAGAGCAGGAGCACACATTTTTAGCTACGGGGGTATGGCAGTGGAGGTGATGATGGGGAATTTAGGGGGGTGCCCAGCCAAAAATGTATTTAAAAAAAAAACAATCCAAAAAAATAAAAATAAATTGGTGATTTGTATTGCAGAAGGGGGAGGATTGCAGGAGCTGGGGAGTGAAGGCCTGCTTTGAGACACACACACACTAAGGGCAACCTAGATGGAAGCTGAACCTTTACCTCAAAAATCTAATTCTACCAAAGCATCCCTCTATGTATGATGATTAATAATAACATGGACATGTCAGGTGTAAAACGCTGTGATTGTGAAATACTAACACTCGCAGAGCATTCACTTCCTGCTTTTAATGGTCAACATGACTTCAGTTTGCCAAAACATTGCACACTGGGATTGCCTTGTCATCAGCAGAGCATTGCTGGGAAATCTCATCTGTAATCTCATGAGATCTCAGGGAAAGGCATTTTACTCCCCTGAGATGATTTGCATGGTCACATGTCCTAGTCACATGTGCCAGAAATCCAGGGAGTAAATGGAGAGCTAGTAATCTGCCCTTAGTAAACATGACTGCTGTGAGAAAACTGGGGAAGAACAGAGAAATAAGAAATGCAAAGAATAGAAAGCCGGCACTTATCTAGAAGTCTGTGTTTGTAGATTGTCATTACTGAACATTTCTAAAGGTGTGTTTGTTGTTATTTTAAAGATGGGGGTCAAGGTCCGCTTGGTTGGTACTCCAAAAGTTCCACAAAACAAGTATGCAGCCCAAGAGCTGAAGAAGGACAATTGCGATTTGAGGCTTGTCACCCGGATATATTTCAGACTCCCTGGAATTCATGAAACATGTTATAGATAGTCTTCATAAACCTGTCTCGCGGTAGTGCGACAAATGGCGGTGGTAGTCGGGAGAGTGATGGAAACGTAACAAATATCAAAGACAAATTTTGGCACAGGAAAGTCTCAGCATGTGACCATTATTACATGTGAGGCACAACCAACAATTTCCTCCAACATGGAGATGGTCAGAGACTGCAGACATAATACAGTAGATGGTCAGAGACTGCAGACATAATACAGTAGATGGTCAGAGACTGCAGACATAATACAGTAGATGGTCAGAGACTGCAGACATAATACAGTAGATGGTCAGAGACTGCAGACATAATACAGTAGATGGTCAGAGACTGCAGACATATTACAGTAGATGGTCAGAGACTGCAGACATAATACAGTAGATGGTCAGAGACTGCAGACATAATACAGTAGATGGTCAGAGACTGCAGACATAATACAGTAGATGGTCAGAGACTGCAGACATAATACAGTAGATGGTCAGAGACTGCAGACATAATACAGTAGATGGTCAGAGACTGCAGACATAATACAGTAGATGGTCAGAGACTGCAGACATAATACAGTAGATGGTCAGAGACTGCAGACATATTACAGAAGGAGGTACGAGACAGCAGACATATTACCGAAGATGGTGAGAGACTGCAGACATATTACAGAAGGAGGTACGAGACAGCAGACATATTACCGAAGATGGTGAGAGACTGCAGACATATTACAGAAGGAGGTCAGAGACAGCAGACATATTACCGAAGATGGTGAGAGACTGCAGACATATTACAGAAGGAGGTCAGAGACAGCAGACATATTACCGAAGATGGTGAGAGACTGCAGACATATTACAGTAGATGGTCAGAGACCACAGATATATTACAGCAGATGGTCAGAAACCACAGATATATTACAGCAGATGGTCAGAGACTGCAGACATATTACAGAAGGTGGTCAGAGACAGCAGACATATTACAGAAGATGGTCAGAGACTGCAGATATATTACAGTAGATGGTCAGAGACAGCAGACATATTAAAGAAGATGGTCAGAGACCACAGATATATTACAGCAGATGGTCAGAGACTACACTGGCATTACCCTGTTTTTGCATACTTTAAATAAAGGCCTCATTCACACTTGCTAGGGGGCCGATTGCATGAGTCTCACGCATTGCTCCATGAGACTCGTGCCAACAGCTGAATGTAAACTGTTTGTGGCCTGCAGGTAATTGCATCACCATTACAGGTAAACGGCTGCTGTCCGCAGGAGTCTCACGGAGTACTTTGTTAGACTCGTACACTTGGCCCCATTCCCAAGTGTGAATGGGTCCCCAAGCATTTTTTTTTTATTGCGTATGTAAATGAATCCGGAGCCCCTCCACATTCCTTCTATAAGAAATATCTGTAGGATGAGGAGTTTATTGTTGATATTGAGAATGCTGGGGCCCCATCAGACCCCGGAGAATTCCACACATGTTTAGAGGCATTCCTCTAGCAACATCTGCAAAAGGAGGTGCGACCGGAATCTGACATGATGTGAACGCTGAATCTTTATGTGAAGGTGGTATGAGGTCTGTATTGAAGGCTGGGCGCGCTGATGTGGTTTAATTTAGAGGCCTCGGCACATGTATATACTTGCTTTATTTATCTCTGCTCATCTATCATCTGTACTGCTATGGAATGGATATTATAACAAATTACACATATATATATATACACACACACACACAGTGGCAAGAAAAAGTATGTGCACCCCTTTGAATTAACTGGTTTTCTGCAGTAATATGCCATAAAATGATTAGTGATCTGATCCTCATGTAAGTCACAACAATAGACAAATATAATCTGCGTAAGCTGATAACACACAAACAATTCTAATTTCTCGTGTCTTTATTCAACACACACATTAAACATTCACAGTGGTGGGGAAAAAAGTGAATGAACCCATAGACTAATGATTTTAGGCCTGGTTCACACCTGTACGTTTTGTAGCGCGTTCAACGCTCTACGAACGCTCTACAAAACGCTCAAACATGAAAATCCCATTGTTTTCTATGGGTATGGTTCACACCTTGCCGTATTTCAGCCCGTCTGAACGCGCTACAAAACGGCCTACGCCTGAAAAGGTACATGAGCTTCTTTGCGGCGTTTTTGTCGCGCGTTTCCATTGGGATACAGCCAAGTAGCCCTCGGAAACGCGCGTTTGTCGCGCGTTTTTTTTA